CTTTCCCTCATGTTATTTGAGGGGGGAAGGATGCATTTTGGATTGAGTAAACACAGTATATTGGAAGTGGAAGTATTCTTAACAGAGCTAGTCAATGACTTTGTTTTGATGAGTACCCTTAAATAAATGATTCGTATCCATGTTACCTGTACATTGGTTCTCATTAGCTATTATGTTTCCATACTATGATCTATGGCCTACTGTGGCCTTCCATACTATGACACTATTCATATTGTCAAGGGGGTAAGCTTGGCTATCTTAAAATAGAGTAGAAAGCCAAAAGTTGACAAGATAGGAAATTGCTGGATCATCAGATCAATAGATTCAAAGATGACTAGGTTGTGTAGCTTTATGCAATTTAAACATTTGTGCAGGGAGTCTACCCACATGCAATATTATTGACAGCCACAGATCAATGCTAATTTTTGATCATTTTCAACCTACAAAACCCTCTTGACCCTGTTGCCATCTTAGGGGCATTTCAAGTAGTCAAAAGCAATCAAAGTAGACAGTGTAAAATGCCAGAATTCTTAAGACTGAGTAATCTTGACCACCCCCAAGATCAAGCCTGCGAGGTTAGTTAAGAAAGTCAGGTGCATTGCATTCTGGATGCCACTATCTTTCAGATGCATGAAAGAATATGTTAATTTGTTTCCAGACTTTAAGTGGCTTCATTGCTCATGAATTAAAAAATAAACAAACAAAAAAGGCAATCTGAAGTGAATCTACAAGGATAAATTATTCATGCCTCACATTTCCCTGTTTTATATTTTGAAAATGTGTTAAAATAATGTTTTATTTTAAATAACTTTTCTTTGATCAGAATTTATGGTCGGAATAGTGAAAGTCACTGGACAGAGTATTGTTAACTGTTTATGCTGCAACTTTCAGTATTGCCAGTTGCTTCACAGAACAAATAGAAAGATGAATTCTCTTGGAGTAGCTGTCGTAGCTGAGGCAGGATGTGGTAGGTGGCTGTAGAGACCAAAGGTCACCCTCCCTTTTGGAAAATGAGGCTCTGGACTTCTGGGTGCACAGCAGAATGTGGTTGGCTACACTTTACAGCAGGTTTTCAGTTCTGTGTTAGGGCATGTTTGGATGAAGAATCATGTCACCATTAAGTATATTTTCTCATTGCTTCAGTGCAAAGAATAACAATGTCTCTGTCCTAAAGAGCTTTCAGTACTCGCACTTGCAAATATACACAGGTGACTCTCCTGACATGAGTTTGTCCAAAAGGAAAACTGCTCAAGTGCATGCAGTTAATCACACACTTAAGTGCTTGCAGGATCGAGCCTAAATTAATGATAGGCTGAGTGAGAATAATGGACAATAAGGGCAAATATAGAAAAACGGAGAAAAGTTACAGTCATCATCAGACTTCATGAATGCTCAGTTTCTTGTGTCAACTTCTTGTTTTGATGAACCATTTAATTTATTTGTTTTTACTCGTAAATGAATTCCTCCGTGTTGGCAACACAGAAGTAGTTGCTATCCAGGAGGTGTTGGAATGCATGTGATTGGGAAAGTGTTCTGTGAAATAGTCTTGATCCTGCAATCAGACTCATAGATATGAACCCTGACAATAATATGGAAGCCCATTTAAGCTGAGTGAGTTCTGAACAGTCAAAAGGGTTTGTCCATGTGGATCAGATTGAAAAAAATGAGGTGGAGCCAGAGTTGAAAAGGGTAGGAACGATGGGAACCGCTGTTCTTGATTTTAAGAAATAGTTCATTTTTCTGTCCCCAAAGGTCCGAGGGGTGCTTTTTGTAAGCAATAGGTCCATCGCAGTAGAATGTTAGCATAATTATAAACCAAAAATCACACAGGAGAATGTGCAATGGTAGTAAGTAAAGGCATATGCACTGTGACTTTTTAGAGAGTCAGCCTCTGAACTAAGTTATTCAAGGACAGTTATGTGCGAAGGGGGAAGGGGGGAGTCCTACTGCGTGTTCTGGGAAAACGTCCCCCAACCACTTTTTTTTTAATATTATGTGTAAACTATTTGCTCTTCAAGAAGGGCTTGTAGGAGCCAGAGATAAAAATCATCCCTGGAAGAAATAGTTTAGCAGTCTCCAGCGAACAGGAGGAACAGCAGACAAGGAAATCCTTCCATCCTTGCTTCAATTCCAAAACTGGCGAGGACTACAAATAATTAAATGATGGGGTTTAGCAGGAAAAATATAGGGTATTCTTAAAACGATGCAATCTTTCTTTTTATGAAAGAAAAATCTTTATCTTGTAGGATTGTGTCCACTGGAACCCACCCCTTGATTGTATAGTTTACAAGAAACAGGGCCATTGATTTTTTACAATCCTTATCATTCTGTATTTGTACTTTCCACAAGCCTTTGTGTAACCATTGAGAAGCAATAATTTAAAGTCATGTGCTTTCTCCCTCCCTTCCCCACCCCCAAACCATGGAATGTAAATTTTAGGCTTTTAAAAGTTCTATTTTTAAAGCCTAATAGATAACTGTCCTCGTAAAAACTATTAATACAGACCACAGCCAATTGTAAAGCTAATTTTAATCATGTTTTGTGCCAGCATAATTTCTGATGCCAGATTTTTATGCCAAGCATGAACTTCAATTTGAGCTTTGTACTTTAACCTGCAGTTCATAATTTTGCATTCGGCTGTATAGGTTTTTGGCTGTGGCAGTTTGAATGCTTCCACTTTCAAGGATCTAAGCCATAAATGTTTATTAAAAGAATCTATAATGAAATCAGTTTTGTTATTTTTTTAATGGCTGCCTTGAGTATGTTGGATGACTGAATGCAGGTTGTTAATCATTAAGTACTCATGTTACAAAAAGTGTTTGATAGTATTGCCATCTAGGGGCTGAACTAAATTCTCCATACTGAAATAAACTGTAATTGAACAGGTGCTGCTATTGACAATATACATATGTTTTTGCTTTATAGCCCACATGCTTTCCATGTTTCTTATGACAAAAGATATCTCTAAATGTCCCAGAGCAGCCAACACTTTTTTATATATAATCTGTTCGAGGTGATTACTATTTGCATTTGAGCTTATGCTTTTTTGGCAGAGATGATCAGGAATTCCTAACAAAGAATTATATTTTTTTGCATTATTAATCTTGCTAGTGTTTGCCCTGTTTAACAGAAAAAGGAATCATTTATCAGAAAAGTATGTTTATAATCTGTACTTGTGGCATCTTCAGATTTAATATTCATAATGGTCATTCAAATTCTTTGCTATATTTATCTAAAAGACTAACTCGTTGTGGGGAAATAACTATTTAAATATTCATGATCTAACTTTTAATATTAAAAAAAGAAATTAATACTTCTGTAAAATTTGTTGCAGAGTCTGGTAGCTTAACAAATGTTTAAATATTAAACAATTCAAAGTGTTAGCATTTAGCAACTTAATATGACTTATTGAAACAGGGAAATTGACTTCAGCCATTTATTCCAACATAAAGAAAACTGAATTCCCTGATTCCTGTTCCTGACATCCACCTCCTTAATGAAAAAGCACAAATAAAAGTGTAATGAAATATACATGTGATCAATGGAACCCCTCCTGTTCCCCTGATGAGGTTGATCTAAAACCCCTCATGCCAAACTCTACTGGTCCTCCTGTTTATTTCTCCCTGTCTTTCTGTTGAAGTGGTGTTGAAACTGGTATTTGTACGCCTCTATGCTATAAATAGTTTTAAGGAAAGATGCAAGCCTATGTTGGATAACAATTCAGTCATAATGGATTATGGTAGCTATTTTACTCAAAAGTCTAGTGGTGATTTAACCATGAGGATGGTCGATTTATTTTATATCTGGAGACCAAATTCTGCTGTGAATCCAGATTATGTCACTTCAATTTTCTAGAATATATAGGAAGGAGCATGATTTCTGTATAGAAGATATAAGGTGTGGGAAGCACAGTCCCACTGAGATGTGTTACAAAGACCCCTAAGGGCTGATCTGTCAAAGAACTACAGTCTGGTCCTGACACAGGGAAGCATTTAGGCATGTGCTTCCTAACTTGGGACAACTCATTTCTTTGAAGTAAAGCAAATGCTTAAGTGCTTTGCTAAATGAGAACCAAGGGCTCGGTACCTCAGAGAACTGAGCCCCAAAGGTTTACCTTGAAGATCAATTCCCTGCAAAGTGCAAGGGTTTTTATTCAAGGTTCAGCTATAGTACTGCATCCAAAGGGAGGCTGGCAGCCAGATGAGGTGCTCTGTGGAAAGATTAGGACAACTTCACAGCCAGGAACCAGTTCTCCAGTGTAATGCTGACATAAACCAAAAACTCTGATTGTCTTAGTAACTAAACAGGAAAATAAGTTGTATTTTTGTTATAGGGAACAAGGCATCAGGCTCATTTGTTTGGACTGAAACCATTTACAGCATACCACATTTGTGTCGTGGCTGTGAACAATGCTGGCCAAGTTTCAAGCCCCTGGACTTCTGTGCGCACACTGGAAGCTTCACCAAATGGCCTCAGTAACTTCACTGTGGAGAAGAAAGAGAATGGCAGAGCATTGTTACTGAAATGGTCAGAGCCTTCCACACCGAATGGAGTACTTAAGGTAATCTTCAACTTGAACCCATATTATTCAAAAGAAAAGGGAAATGCTGCAGCTTGTGCTTGAAAACTCTTGCTGAAAGAGATGCCACCAAATTCAGTAGTCATATAAGGAATATTTGGAGAGAACTACTACACAATATACCGTGCAAATACAATACGATACAAGGAATATATGAGTGCCTGTTATTTGCTGGATCTACACAATTCAGGTTTTTTGTTATTATACAGCATAAATATCTAGAACACCAGGGTAATCCTGCCCTTCAAAAAATGCAAGAGAGAATTTTTAAGGTTATTTTTCAAGCCTAGTGAATTTAATATTTTGCTTTAATGGAACAGTGTCTACTTAAAGGATACTTCCAGGTTGATTTAGCCTTATTCCTTACATTAGATTTTGCTAAAATAAAGTTTCAGAAAACCTAGGGCCTGTGAATTTATTGGGGGGAGGGGGTGGAGAGGGGGTTTAAAAAAATGTTTTTGTTTCAATGTAAATATTCACCTACAGGGTTTGTAACCAAGAGAATGTCATTTTTTAAATTTTTGTCAGTTCAGGAGAGCCAGGAAATGAAACGGACTAGAAAGTAAATAGAATGAAAAGTGTTACTGACCTAGATTGTTTTCAATGCCCATAATGAATTAAATGCAAAAAGCAATAAATCAGCATTAATCATGAAAAGTAGAGTAAAACATTCTTTTAGTTTTAAGCATCTAAGATATTACTAATAAAACACAAGTAAGGGAATTAGGTTCTAAGTCATAAGTTAATAATCCTTATTTAGTTATGAAGATTAAAGGTTGTGAATTACTAAATATCTCTCCTAGAATTCATTTGCAAATTCTGCAAGTGATATGTTTTCTTTTTTTTTCCTATCTTTTTGTTTTGCAGAACTACAATATTTTAAATGATGAAAATCTGGAATATAGTGGTTTATCTCGTCAATTCCTCTTTAGACGTCTTGAGCCTTTCACTCTGTATACTCTAGCACTTGAGGCTTGCACTGTGGCAGGTTGCACTCGCTCTTCACCCCAGCCAATCCAAACAGATGAAGCCCCTCCTGCGTCTCAGCTGGCACCTGTAATCCAGTCAGTTAATGCTACCAACATTGAACTGAGTTGGTCTGAGCCAATTAATCCAAATGGAAAAATAATTCACTATGAAGTTATTCACAGATGCACAAAAGAAAATGCTTCAGGGAACAGAGCAACAACAGTAGATGAGAAAATTGTTTTCACAGAATATAACATTGGAAGTAATACATTTATATATAATGATAAAGGTTTACAGCCATGGACAAGGTATGAATATAAAATACGTGTCTGGAATTCAGCAGGTTATGCTGACAGCTCTTGGTCAGTGGCAAAGACCAGTCAAGCTGCCCCTAAAGGTCTTGCTGCACCTAAATTATACCATGTGGCACATAAACCCAATAAAGTGCTCATTTCATGGGTCTCCCCAGAAGAGCCCAATGGTGTTCTCCAGTCATACAAGCTACAAAGAAATGATATTCTCTACCCTTTCAGCTTTGATGCTAAAACTTTCAACTATACAGAGGAAGACTTACTGCCATACTCAGAGTACAGTTATGCTTTAGTTGCCTGTACAATGGGAGGCTGTTCGACCAGTGAACTAGCCAAAATACGAACTCTTGAGGCAGCTCCAGCATTAGTGAACCCCCCATCCCTGCAGGCCATCAGTGCCACTCAGATTAATGCATCTTGGTCCCCACCCCAGGTTCAAAATGGAGAAATCACTAAATATATCTTGAAATTAAACAATGAAGAGTATTTTGTTGGAAAGAGTTTACTCAGTTTATTGATTTCAAACCTACAGCCTTACACACAGTATGATTTCAGCCTGGTTGTCTGTACTAATGGAGGCTGCACATCTAGCAAACCTCACTCTGTTTCGACAATGGAAGCTGCTCCATTAAATATGGAGGCTCCAAAGTTGCTGGTCACAGGGTCAGAGTCAATAGAAATCTCCTGGAAAAGCCCAGTTAATCCTAATGGTAAAATTACAAATTATGAGCTGAAGAGAGATGGAGTTCTTATTTATTCAGGTCTGGAAACTCGGTACCTTGACTTTGCATTGACACCAGGTGTGGAATATAGCTATGCTGTAACTGCAGATAATAGTCAAGGAAGCGCAACCAGCCCATCAACCAAAATTAGAACCAACCCATCTGCTCCATCTGGAATGTTACCTCCTAGACTGCGGGCATGGGCCCCCAAGGAGATTTTGGTGGCATGGGATGCTCCCGCAAAAGTCAATGGTGAAATAAAAAATTACACAATCTCCATTCGGGAGCCTGCTGAAACAGGAAAGAAAACTGTTCACTTTGATTCATCTCATGTTTCTTTTGCAAGACAGTCCTACATTGCAACAGAATTAAAACCCTATCATAGGTAAGTTCCAGATTTTTAATTTGATGAAGAATGTCACAAAGTAATTACTAAGTTTTTGAGATGTGTTGATACTTAAACCTCCTCAAAAGACTGTTTTGTTTTCTACTAAAAATGAACTCAGATGGGAGGGGAGGAACATATCACATCTTTTCAGTTAAACAAACATATCCATGGGTTCTCAGTCCCCAACGTCCATTGTAAAAGAAGAACACCTTTTTTTTTTTTATAACATCAGCCTATTTTACTACTTTCTAGGAAAGTATGCAAGATGAGTCCAGGGTGTGAGCAAAGCTAGGGCCAAACTGAGCTTGTAGACTCAGAAGCTTACAGCCTTGTCCAGTCCTACAATTTTGCAAGTTGAATATATTGTAGAATAAATTTAGCTTGTTTTATAAAGCGGGAAAAAAATGCAGCTAAGATTAGTGGCCAGCTCATTCCCAGTGTAATGAATTTAAGGTCAGTAAACAAATTTTGTGTGCCCTTGTTGCCAAGTAAGCTGACAGCATACTGGGCTGCATTAGTAGGAGAGTTGCCAGCTGATCAAGGAAAGTGATTATTCCCTTCTATTCAGCACTGATGAGGCCATGTCTGGAGTAGTGTGTCCAGTTTTGGGCCCCCCACTACAGAAAGGCAGAAGGCAACAAAAATCATTAGGGGACTGGGGCACTTGACTTCTGAGGAGAGGCTGAGGAAACTGGGCTTATTTAGTCTAGAGAAGAAAAGACTGAGGGGAGATTTGACAGCAGCCTTTAACTACCTGAAGAGGGGTTCAAAAGAGGATGGAGCTAGACTGTTCTCAGTGGTGGTAGATGACAGAACAAGGAGCAATGTTCTCAAGTTTCAGAAAGGGAAGTTTAGGTTGGATATTAGGAAAAACTTTCTGAGTAGGAGGGTGGTGAAGCACTGGAACAGGTTATCTAGAGATGTGGTGGAATCTCCACACTTGGAGGTTTTTAAGTCCAGCTCAACAAAGCCTTGGCTGGGATGATCTAGCAGGGGCTGGTCCTGCTTTGAGCAGGGGGTTGAACTAGATGACCTCCTGAGGTCCCTTCCAACCCTAATTTTCTTTGCTTCTATGATTCTAATTTGTCTTTTTACACTTTATTTAGAATTTTAAGCTATCCTACTCAAGTCCCTGTAAAACTGTTAATACAAAAGCTGGGTGGATTCTCCTTCCTCCTTCTCTCTGCCTTTTTGTGATTCTAACCCCCCTCCACATTACGTCTATTGCTCAATTATCTTGTTAATTGTACAATAAATTTAAAATGGCTACATGTGCATATTAACTATCATGCTTTAAAAAGGTCCAACCAACTATCAAATTATTGGTTAAAAATGTGTAATCACTTTATAGCTCAGGGGCGGGCAAAATCCGGCCTGTGGGTTGGATCGGGCTCATGGCAGACTCCAGTCTCAGCAGTCCCTGCCCATGTTGCTGTGGGCCAGTTCCCATGGAGACCCCAGGAACAGTGGAGCTGTGGCAGCACGGGGCTAGGGTTACCACAGAGGCCAGCCCCAGCAGCGCTGGCAGGGTGTGCAGCAGAACAGGGAGCTGCTCCAGGGCCAGGATCCTGCAACAGTGACAGCGTGGTCCAGAGCTGGGGCAGAGCTGTGGTCCGCTGCCTGCATACCCCAGGCAGGGGCATGCAGGCAGTGGATCATGGCTCTGCCCCAGTCTGGACCATGCTGCCACTGCTGCAAGATCTCAGCTCTGGCCCCAGAGCAGTGCCCCACCCAGCTGCATGCCCTGCCATTGCTGCTGGGGCTGGTCTGCCTCCATGGAAACCCTGGCCCCATGCTGTAACTGGTCTGCTGTTGCTGGGGTCTCCATGGAAACCAGCTGCAGCAACGTGGGCAGGGTCTGCTGGGAAATGGACTCCAGCCACCCGCCAGATCCGCCATTTTGCCCAACTCTGTTATAGCTGGTTTCTATCCAGCTTTAATTTGCATGTGTAGACAGTTCTGTGGCTGGGAGACTGAAGCCAATGTAGTCTCCCAGCCGCAGGGGTGAGGGAGCACTTCAGACAGTGGCTGGGAGACTGCAGCAGGGAGATCACAGCTGCTGTGATCTCCCAGCTATGGATCTCTCCATGCACCCCCACAGCTGGGAGACCGCAGCAGCACCCCAGAATTGCGGAGGCTGATTGTTCCATGCCTGAAGGAGCTCTTGGTCCTGGCTGTGTATGGGGCTCAGCCGGGACCAAGAGCCCTGTCAGGCACAGGATGTTTGGTCTTGGTTGTGCATGATCCCCGTGGCTAGGAGCCACATCAGTAAAGGGGGCTTCCAGCTGCAGAAGCCTGCTTCTTGTCCAATGCAGGGGGAGCCCAGAATTGGGCTTTGGGTTTTTGTTTTAACCTAAGTGTTTCAACTGCTCCTCTCCTGGCCTGTTAGAACATCCAGAAGCCAAATGCTTTATGCTAATAAATCCATTTTATTATATAGCATACTTTCACTCTGGCCCTCTGTACCCAAATAAAGATCTTTTTGGCCAGCGTTAGCTCAGTTATGTGCTGGTTTATCAATCTTGAACATGCCTCAACTCCAACCAGCAAAATTTTAACTCAATCAATTATTTTTGTCTTAGAGTTGATCTCCTGCCTTTTGGAGTGTTGAATGAGTATATCTCTATTTGATTTACATTTTCCTTTCTTTTTCTATCTGTTTGTATTTTTGATACTGTACACAACTGATCATTTACAAAATAGCTTTCAGTCAGCCTCAGAAACTTGTCCTCTCAGCACCATTTACCTATCAGCATATGCTCAGTGAAACCTGTCACCACCAGCCCCCACTATACAAACTAGGATGTGGGGGAATTAGAATCTAAATTCTGCCTGATTCAGGCAAATGGAGTGGAAGATTTCTGTGTTCCTTGGAAACATTTTTGTCTTTTGAGCCTGGATGAATAAAGAATTGGAATACAAAATCCATAGAACTCCTCTGGCAAGCACTTGTTTTTTGTTTAATAGAAAGTAAAGGTAGAATATATGTAGACTCACTTTAAAAGAAATGTAAACACTACTGCATCACATTTTTATTAATAATAATGTTGCTATCCAGTGACTCCTACTTGTATGTGTAGACCCATTGGGATAAATGGGATTGCTTATGCTACTTTGTGAGATCAGACTCATGTTGACCATTTTAATGTGAATTCTTTTCTTCTTCAAATATATGAAGGCCAAAAAAAAAGGAATTTCAGTCACTTTCTCAATACTTTCTAATCTTATGTATTGTAGATATATACATGAACAATGTTTATATGGATTGCTTTCTTATTTGTGTTCCCAAAGGTATGAAGTACAAATTCAAGCGTGCACGTTGCTGGGATGTGCTTCCAGTGAGTGGGCATCCACACAGACTCTGGAAGCCCCCCCTGAACGGCAGCCTGCCCCTCTCATAGAAGTACAAATGAGCCCTGATGGACTCCACTCAGTCTGTTCTGTTCTGTGGACAGGCCCACAACAACTGAATGGGAAGATTTTACATTACGAGCTTTACAGAAGACTAGCCACTCATACGCACATAAATTTAGACCTGGTACTTGTCTATAATGGGTCTTCAACCTCCTGCAAAGATGTCAGTTTGCTGCCTTACACTGAATATGAATACCAGGTATGAAATGGGATAAGTAACAAATGGGTATATACAGTAATAGTTTGAATTTCAGTACCTGAAGTAATAAGATTTCATATTCATTAAGAAATAGCCTTCTCAAAAAGATTTTCAAATTGGTTCTATATGATTTAAAAATTGGTTCTACAATAATAATTAGTGCAAATTTGTTTTAAATAGTTGAGATCTTAGAGATAAGTCTTCCCAGAGTAAATTCATTCAAGACTCAATTTGCTTAAACATAATCATTCATTCCACTAACCAGAGTTACTACGCAGTAGCATTACTGAATGGCTTTTTCATGACACGACTGTGCAGTAGCCCAAGCCATCATGCTTGCTGCCATGTGACACTATTGCACAGTAGTTATGGGCCACTGCGCAGTTGGTGTCTTGTGTAGATGTGGCCACAGTGTCCTAGGGTATATGAGTTTCTTTGGCCTGTGGTTGTGTTCCATTAATGTCAAACTCAAACAGTACTGCTTAATATTTCTCCATTAAACAGAACTACTAATAACTGTGGTCTATATTTGATCTCAAATATATGTATAGACTGCATAGCAATTTATAATCTTCTGAAATTCAGATCATGTTTTTATGTGATACTGGGCACATCTAAACAAGATGTTTACTGTGCAGTTGACTAATTAGCTGCACAGTAAACATCTCAGAATCTACATGTGCACTCCTATTAGGCTGGAGTAAACTAATTTGCTCTGCAGTAGGATTGTACTTGTAAATGCAAGTAGATACGGGCTGGCTGGGTCATGAAGGTGCTACAGTGCAAGTGCTGCCTGCTGGCTAGCCCTGTGCTTAAGCTCCCTTGTGCCCCACACCGCCCCTCCACAGCATGTTGAGCCAGGGAGCGCAGCCCCAGGCTGGCAGGCTGACCCCCCAGGGCCCCCTACCAGCCAGGGCTGCTCCAACTCAGTCTCATGTGCTACGCATGAATAAACTGAAGCCTCATAGTTGAACTGTTCTGGATTTTCTTTCCCTTGCATATGAATGCCCTTTTAACATACCAGATCCTTTTGCATCTGTGTTCCACAACCAACACAGTGCTCTTCTTGGTGGATTGGGCTTGTATCAAGTTATTTCTTAGCCACAGGACTGCACAAGCAGTACAGTTTATTGAAGGATTCCCTGACCACATACTAAGACCTAAAGGAAGGAGAAGCTTGATCCTCCTTTTTATGGAGCTTTTGAACATGTTGACACTGCCTTCATGCCTTGTCCAACTGTGCCACTGTGAAGCATACCCAACTCACTTGCTTCACTTTCCATGCACCAATTCCCCAAAATGAGGTAGCATAACCATCTTAGAGCAGCTCCAAGTGTGTGTCCAGAGACTATCTTCAACTATCCATCACAGGTGTGCTTAGTGGTAGAAGCTCAAGACTCCTTTAAGGCTGTAGAGCTTCCTTTCTAGGATCTCATGCATGTGAAGCAGGAGCAGGTGGATGGAGAGTGTTTCATCACGGTGCTCCCTGGCACAGCATAGAAGTAGTCTAGGCAGGTGCACAAGCCCCTAGTGGTTCCAGTTTGTGCAAAGAAAGGATTCTACAGGGGCAGTGTCAAAACTAATGGAAACTGGAATGGTGATAGAAAAAATACTGACTGCCAAGTTTTGAAAGAACATTATTCACAACTTGATCAATTTTTTTTCTCCTGATGCAGACTTAGAGGAGTATTCCTAGATGACCACAGAATGAAGGATAAAGTAATTTGCATTATTTTTGTTCTGAGGAAATGGTATGACATCTCTGGGTTTCCTTTTATGGATGATGGGTCTCCAATGACTTGATTTCCCTCAGTTACTAATAATATTAAATTCCTTAAATTTCAGTGAACTTAGTAGCATTAAGGATTCTTTCCAGAATAGAAAACACCACTTAGAGAATGGAAAACTTTTCACACTTAAAATACTTGAGGGACTTATTTTTCAGCAATTACTTCTCTTGTGGCCAAAACTGTTAAACCTTTTCTGGCAATAGCATATGTTAGGGTGAAGTATTTGTGTTTCAAGTATTTTTTGGGTAGCATAAGAGTGATGTTGTATCTGTCATGGTCCAGAAACCATGTGACAGGCAAGGATTTCTAAGGGCAATATATTTTATTGAACCAACTATGTAGTTGGAATAAAATTAGACAGGCTTTCAAATGCAAGTGTGTGTGGGGATACATATATGTTTCAGGAGTGGGGGTGGGAGGAAGAAGGAAGAGGAATTACAAGGGGAAAAAGCCCTTTTTACTCATTGAAATTCTCCCTTAGCTGAAAAGAGGGAGTTCTGTATTTTTAAGCAAAAAGTCCAAAGCTCTGTTTCTCATGCTACAGGTTAGCTGATAACAGTGTTGCCTATGTTTTTGCAGCTATAGATTTATGAAAAGGACATCTCTGGGGATTTTTTTCCAAATAACTCTGGTTCTACAGTGATTAACCCCACCCATAGTAGTTAGCCCTGACTTTCTAAGTCTTAGGGATCTGGGCATTTTAAGTTCCAAAGCTTTTAGTAGAAATCTGTGGATGCGTGCTGTGTTCTTACTTGCACCAACCTTTAATTACCTGATACTCAATCAGAAGCTTCAGTCTAGCTTTCTGATGCTTATTCCTAGCAAAGTCCATTTTGAGTCAAGGTTTTTAATGATTTATTGATGATGTCTGACTTAGGTTGTCTGCCTGTTCTGATTCTTCTACACTAAAATGCTGCATTTGAGGCAGGTAGAAACTCTCTTTTATTTTAGTTCCACTCAGTAGCTGAACTACACTATTCTGACAGGACCACAAATCTGTTTTGCTCCTTCTCAGCTATCAGCTATTTATTTGTTTTCAGTGAGAGGAGGGGTGTGTGTGTGTGTGTGTGTGTGTGTGTGTGTGTGTGTGTGAGAGAGTGAGAGAGAGAGAGTGTGCATGTGAGTGTGTGTGTATGTTCCTCTTCTGCTGATGTCACTTGTGGCATCCCTCCCGGCTCTGTTCTTAGGCCCTCCATTGTTGACAAGTTATATGTTACCTGTGAGACAAGTTATTCATAAGTATAGGGCTTGGCTTTCGCTATTATGCTGATGAAACCTAGATTTATATTTCACTTAAGCTCAATATTGATTCTGCTGTCTCTGCATTGGAGGCTTGTTTGCTGGACATAAAACTTTAAATGCAACTAAATTTCCTCCAGCTGAATGCAGATAAAATCAAAGTGCTGTGACTGGGCCCTTTGCAGCATTTTTTAGAAATGTCAGTTATCAAGATTTAGTTTGATGGGTAGAACATTAACATCTAATCTGTGCCCAGAAATTTTGGTATCATTCTTTTCTTTGTATGTTTTAATGGAAACACGAGTAACTGCCTGTCAGCTCAGCAGATTAGAGCAGGTCAAAGGTAACATCTTCAAAATTTCCTAAGAGCCAGATGACAGGAGACCTTCAGGTGCCTTGGTCTGGGGATGGAATTTACTAACCTGAGGTAGACACCTGGATACCCTATACAGTGAAAAAGGAGAGTTAGGCATCTAAGAAAGGGCTGCCTGAGATAGCCAGTGGGAAGCACTGAGGAGAGAGGCAAATCTGAAACCCCACCATTTGCCTGAAGACTGGCACTGTACCTTGGCCAAACCAATGTCTCTCACCTCCCATGAGAGTGCCCTAACCCCCAAGCTGAGCTTTGCCAGGAGGGGTACCTTTCTGTGAAAACTGAATGGCTGCAGCCAACAAAAGCAAGATTCATGGGGTCAGAAAGAGAACAAGAAAGTGAAGGAGCATGATTCTGTAACCTGGTGGAGAAAGCACTTATCTGGGAGGTGAGATCCTGGTTCTGGTCCCTGCTCTGGGACTGTTCATAGCCTTTGTATTACAATTATTCCATGTCAGAAGCAGGGACCGAGTACACCCTGCTTCCCAGCAAGGCAAGTTAGCTCACATGAAGCTTTGTGATAGCATACATATAGTTTCTGCAAGCTCAGATACATCTCCACAACAGTATATTGCCCTTTGTAGATATACCTATGAGGCCAGCTTTTTAACAGTATTTAAGTGCCAGAAGGTATAGATTGGCAAGCAATGGGATTTTTCTAAGGAACGTATATTGCTAACTTGCAATGATTTCCTCCAGAGTTGAGTACTTAGGATTGTGAAAATCCTAGGCACCTCTTTGAACACAATGCATTCAACAATATGGTCATTTGAAGATTTGTACTACAGATCTTCAGCTGGTATAAATCAGTGTAACTTTGAGGTCTTCAGTAAAGCTCCCCTGATTTACAGCAGCTGAGGATCTGGCTAACCCTGTTTAGTTTCCATGTGTAGTCTCTTGCTTCCTGGGCCCTTTCACAGGAAAAAAACACACACAGACCCTTGGGAGCAGACAGTGTAATGTTGCTTTATAACAGCCCATATGGCCAATCTAAAAGCCACAATGATGGGACCGTTGTGTTTTCCTCAGGTGAAGGACAGTCCCTTTGACTAGGACAGTTAAGAGACTGAGTTGGCAAAACAAAAATGAAATTTGCATATAATGTAATCTTTGTTCTTCCTACATCAAAATGGACATGGTATTAACCACCTTTGCTAAGCCAAATCAGGTTGAATATCCAGGACAGAAAACAAGGGACTTCTTTTTTTCTTGTGCTCTCCAAGTTAATGTTTCCTTCCTAATTAGGGATACAGCCCCATGTAAGTATTGCCTGGCAGCAGAAACAATATTGTTCAGATGTTGTATGGAAAGGTGATGTAGCCCTTTTTAGGGGTCTTAACCCTAGGATTTGTAGCTGTACTCTGTGAGGATTGTATGGAGGTGTTTGGAAGCGGGCAGATCTGGGACTGCGAAGACCCATGAGCCTGCCTCCTTCACCAGTGTGGGAGGTGAAGCTGCCACATCCATCCCTGACTCAGGACTGACCAGTTTTGCTTATGATCCATTCACTAAGGCTTAGTGAAGGGCTCAGGGAATACAGTCAGAGAGATACCTACAAAAGTGGTGAAGTGAGTTTCAAGTGTTCCTTTTAAGACAGG